ATGATGCTTCCTCCGCGGTGTCCACCAGCAGAAAGGAATCAAATAGTCTTTTCATTTGCTAGTGAAAATTTTGGTTAACTGTGAGGCTCTTTTTCCATAACTCCAGAAGTCTTTGAAGGACAAAATGTTACAGTCTCATCCTTGTCCATCTCCTGTCCCAGAATAGGAATCAGTCTCTGAAATGGTATTTAGAGACCACAGTCAAAAGTGCAAGGGTGTTTATTGCTCCTGTGTTTGTTCTCTTTTCTTCTAAATAACAACATAATTGACGTGTGCCTGTGTCACGAACCATGGGAAAGAAATGGGACTCCCCAGAGTGGTATCCGATTGAATCTCTGGGGTTTTAAATAATTTTAATTGGTCCTTTTGGAACATAAAAAGAGCCGGGGGGGGGGGCAGTGGTGAGATAGCTCAGTGGACTAAGCGCCTCAGGCAAGTGCAAGAACCAGGGTTTGATCCCTGAACCACATGTCATGCCAGCCCTGCCCCCAGGTATGCCAAGCCAGCCACTGAGACACAGCGTGGTCATGTACACCTGTAATCCCAGTGCTGGGGAGGCTGAAACAGGAGGATCATTATGAATCTGAGCTGCATAGTGAGACCCAGTACCAAATACATTAAAAAGAAAAAAAAAAAGAAAGAAAAAAGAAAGGGCCTGTATTAGTTACATTCTTTTCCTCATTATCCCCAGTAGCAGCACCAATGATGAGTTCTGATGCAGAACTAACTGAATGTTTAGATCAGGTCTTACAAAGACCTCAGCACTGGAGGGATTTGATTCTGAAGCCTTGAGTGGTAAGGGCAGATTGGGGTCAACAAGGGAAATCCCTACATGCCGCATTTGAAGTTCACATAAGGAGTACCACAGGCCTGCCTGCTTGGGATGGACCACAAGGGCAGGGGCATTATCTCCAAAAGAACTCAGGTCAGAGGCTTGGAATAGGAATGACTATTGATATCAAATACATCTAAATGGCCTGTGAGATAGCTCAGCAGAACAAGCTCCTGCCTGGCAAAAAAGAAAAAAAAAAGAAACCTGGATGTTTGTTATGAGTACGAATTCCTGCTGTCTTGTTACCACAAGCAATGGCAGCAATAGGTAACATTTGCTGAAAACCTCTACATGATGCCTGTCATTGTGCTAAGTGATGAACAAAAATTCTTACTTGATTCTAACTACTAGCCAGATGTGGTGGTGGTGGTGCAGGTCTGTATCTCAGTGCTCTGGGAGGCTTGGGTAGGAGGATTGCAAGTTCATGACCAGCCTGGGTAATTTGATAAGACTCTGTCTCAAAATAAAAAATAAAAAGAGCTAGAGGTGTATCTCAGGGTAAAGATCCTGGGTTTAATCTCTAGGATTGCAAGAATCAATAAATACTTTCTTTGGGGCACATAAATTTCTTCAAATTCATACTTTAAAATTAAGGAAACAGAGCTACAGAGCAAAATAATTTACCCTAAATCTCAGTTCTGATAAATGATGAGCCAGGAGACTCCGAAGTTTGTGCTCTTAACTACAATGCACTTTTGCCTCTGAGAAAAACTCTGTTGGGGGAAAGCCTAGGGGTTTGCATTTTTAAATACAACTAGGTAACTCTAACCAAACTCCCCTCCTATAGACTAGAGATTTCCAAACAAGTTGGTTATGGGAAGACAGATGGGGGCTTGTTTTCTTTTGTTTTTCAGTACTGGGTGATCAAACCAAGGACCGCTGCACTGAGTTGCACCCCGATCTCTCTCTCTCTCTCTCTCTCTCTCTCTCTCTCTCTCTCTCTCTGTCTGTCTGTCTGTCTGTCTGTCTTGCTAAGGTACCAACATTGAGCTCGAAACTGTGATCCTCCTGCCTAAAGCTCTAAAAGTATTGGGATCATAGCTGTGTACCATCGTACTCTAGGGGAATTGTGAAAAATAGCTGTTGTCAAGGACAGCTCTTCCTTTACAGAAGAATTCTGATTAATAAATGTAGATAGAATGAGGGAGGCAAAAAGTCATCTTGAAACAAACTGCACAGTAATAAATGTGAAAAAAAAAAAAAAAAGACCCAGTGTTGGATGCTAAAATCAATGGGTAAAAGTTGAAGGAGAAACGGAGGCTGGGGAATGAGATGCCCATCGCTGGCTTGGAGCTGAGGGCGCTTGCACACACACTTCATTGTACAGGTGGAATAGTCTACTCTTTCCTGCTACCCTCCCAGGGGCAAGGCACATTCCTTTGTTCCTCTTTCCAGTGTTAAATTATTAATCTCCATCACCACGGAGACCGTTGACAAATGAAGTCCTTGATGTTCTTAGAGGCCAAGCTCTAAGATGGGGCATTTTTAGTAGGCAGAGAGAGCAGAGCCAGGCAATCCTAGGTTTGTAGACCAGGAATCTGGGGCAGGGAGCACGCCAAGAAGGGGGACACTGAAACCCTTTGTCCTAGACCTTCTGACAGTGGCATGTAAATTGCTTCTAGCAACAGTCTATTACTCCTGCTTGAGGGGTCGTTTCAAAGGAAACTATTACAGTGGATGAAGGCTAATTGTTAACTTTGGTGTTTTGGTTTTCCTTTTCTTTCATTGGTAGAAAATGTGACAGCAAGCTCCATCCAACTTCTGGGTCCTTTTTTCAGTTGCTTCTTAATCCTCCACCATCACTCGTCCTTCATGTTTTTGTTTTTCTTCTTGGCAGGAGGGCAAAGATAAGATGTTCCTGATAGAAAAATTGACCAAGCTGCAGGAGATGGAGAAAAGAGCAAACCCCAGTGCACTTATTCTGGAAAGGAGAGAGACAGAGGTGAGACTAGCCGCTGTTGTTGGGACTCTAGGGGTGCAGACTTGCCTTTTTATACAAAGGAGACCAGGCTCCTTGCATCACATAATGGCCTTTCCCTCTGTTGTCACAGTGCTGGGGGTGGAACCTGGGGCCTTGCATACACTAGACAAGTTCCGTTCCTCTGAGCTGCATCCCCAGCCCACATAACCCATACATATCTATAGCTGAGCTGAGTCTTGGTCCGTTGCCCAGGTCTCAAGTTCCTGGGCTAGTGATCCTGCCTCAGACTCTTGAGTACAGGCACACACCCAGCTCCTTTACTTGGTATGTTTAAGCACTGTGGTTCCTAAAAATTAAATTGTAATCATTATCACTTAACACTTTCCACGGTTGGCCTTTTGCTGGGTGCTGGATTGCTGTGAATAAAGCAAGCCTCTGCCTTCATGGAGATCACATTCATTTTCCATAACCGACTAAAACATCCCGCTGAGATGAAAATTTCCCTGAAATCTCAGCCCACTATTTGTAGGTCAGTGTCTGTTCTTCCAGATCTTTCTCCCAGGTATCAGCAAACATACCCGCATCTACTAACATTTTCATTTATTACAAAAGTGGGACTAACATCATATACACACACATCCCAACACGCTTAACATCATTTCAGACACTGTTTTGATTTGTCTTTCTGAGACAGGGTCTCACTATGCACTTCAGGCTGAACTTGAACTTATTTTGTAGCCCAAACGGGCCTCAAACTCATGATGATCCTCTTGCCTCAGCCTCCTAAGTGCTAGAATTAGAGGTGTGCACCACCAAACCCAGCCATTGTTTCATTTTGGACATACTTTTTCATTCTGGACATTTGTGCTGTTTCTAGGTTTTTCAAGTATTCAAAACAGTACACAATGCAGCATTTCTGTTATAACCATAATCATGATTGCAGTTCTGGGAATGAACACAGGGCACTGTCTACACTAAGCAAATGCTTTACCACGGAGCTATATTCCTAACCCTTTTTTTTTTTTATAATAATTTATTATTTATTTATTTTTTAATTTTTATTTATTTATGTGTGTGTGTGGCCAGCTCAGCCCACCAGGGGGTGGGGCTGGCTGGCATGTGGTGCTGGGGGATCGAACCGTTGTCCCTGTACTTTGCTAAGCTTGTTCTAAGTAGGTGCTTTAGACCACTGAGCCATCTCACCAGCCCTATTCCTAACCCTTTTTGTTAGTATCTCTGCCCCATGTACACATACCCCTAACTTTAAAATGAGGTCCACCAATTGTACCACCCATGCATCAAGACCCAAGGTCTGCATTCTGTCCCAGTGATGTGGCTGCCCATTTTCTTTTTACAGCAACACGGCCCTCTGCATCTGATGGAAGGCAGTGCTACTTCTGGTAAGTACCAAACTGACATGGAGTGAGATGTCACTATATTTCCCTTAAATTATGCCTCATATTAAAAAGGGCTTATTTTTAGGGGATGTCTTATTCTTTCATGTATTTATTATTCATGTACAACAACCTACATTTATTCATGCACAAAACCTCACATTCATTCAAATACGGTCATTATCTTATTCTGGTGCAATGTTGTAACTCTCCAAACCCCAAATTCTGATTTGAATTTCTTGCATCTTAATTTCTTATACAAGTATTGGCCCCGGTCTCTCATGTTCAGCAGTGGGACTGTCCTTATGTGAGACTTCTTGTCCATATAGGCTGCCCCTCGTGCATCAGTATAACACATGACATATTGAATTACAGAAATTCCCATTAGACACAACCACATCCGTTCAACCGTGTATGTTGTCTGTACTCTGATTGGTCATTCAGGAATAAATCTTTGGGCATTGACCTCTGATCTAGAGGTGCCTGCTTTGGTATTTACAAATAATTATAATTTACATTATCAATTAAGTCTTAATATCAATATGACTTATACCATGTATTATAATTCAGTATGTCTGTCCATCATGTTTCACTGGACACATGCATTGTGTCGCCTGGCTGATGACTTTAACTAGGACTTATTTTGGGGGTAAGGTTTATATTATTAGCATCATGGGGGAAAAAAATCAGACTGAGGCTTATTTTCCAGTTAGGTCTCATTTTGGGGAAAATGTAATTTATCCTGGTGTAATTTATCTTTGGCGACCAAAGTAGAGGGTCAGAGATGCCTGTGTAACAACTCCTTCAATTGCAAGCCTGGTGCAAAATGGCTTAAGTAAAAATCCAAGAATGATTTTTGCCCTAGGACTGACTTAAGGCAGGAGGTCCCAGTGTCACCAGCACCTTGTTTCTCTGTTCAGCTCTTTTCCATATTAGTTCGTTTCACAAACAGGTCTTTTTTTCTTTTTGGCAAAACAGTTTTATCATTCTCATATCTTCTCAGGTTCAACCTAGTAGAAGGTAGGGGACTAGAATTCTCAGTGTTCCACCGGCTCTGATGGGGCAAGGGACCAACTGCTACAGCTATAGAAATATTTTCATTTCCTTGGTCATATCTAAATCATCTGTCTCAGCTGTAGGTATAGGTAGTGACACCTTTCATCCACAGAAGTGTAGGAAAAGGTGGATTCCCAAGGATAATCTGGGGAGGATACCAGGAGGGGAATGAATGCCAGGCAGGAAACAAGTCAACCCACTAGTCTTTGGGGGATAGCATTTCCCCATGACTCTAGTGACAGGAGTTCAGGACAAAGAAGGCTTTGGAAGCCCAGGGCCTTTAAGGCCTAGTCTTCCCCTTCTAGAGATGGGGCAGTGTATGTTTGCAGTAACACCTCTTTCCTATGTCAAATCCAGACCTGCGATTGAGGCGATCAGTTCAAGAAGATTATTTAAAGGCCTAGCCTGATGACTGCTGTGGTAGCCAGAGACCAATCCAATAAAGAAGATACAAATGGGACAAATTCTTCCATGGCAACTGGGCCTTTAGAAGCATCTTGGAAGGAGAATCCTAGCCTGTAGCTGGAGTGTAAAATTAACCTACAATGTCAATTGCAAAGTAAAATTGGGCATAAAATTATCTTTCAAACCTGGACTGAAAATTTTCAACTTACTTGGGATTTTCCAGTGAAGACTGCTGAAATATTGAAACTAGGCTAGAAAATATGGGAAGATATAACCTGAGAATGATGTACTCTATCTTCAAGAAATGTGTGTCTGAATTATTGGTCTTCAGGAATCTTTCCTCCTAGACCTGGCAAAGGTTTAGAAACTGGTGCTGTGAAACATTGTCTACAATGAATAAAAATATGATTCTTAATCAGACACACAAATCCTCTGAATTATATAACTTGCATTTGTTTGTAACTTTGAATTAAAAAACATCTCCACATCTCCCAAAGATGAAACGGAATCAGAAGTCTTGTCTGTTTATTGCATACGGAGCACAGGAGTCTCTGGGATGAGACCAGGGTGGGATGCTGCTCTCCTGTAGGAAGGTTTTTATTTTTTTAAATTTTAGGGAAGGGTCTACAGGGTGTTCAGGGTCTCACTACTAGATTGGACTCATAGTGATCTGCCTGTTTACAGCCTCCCAAGAGCTGGAACTACAGGCGTGTGCCACCATGCCCAGTCTCAATTGCTGTCCCAGTGCACCCTGGGGGCAGGGCTGGGGCCGGCACGGCTGGGGCCAGCATGGCAGGCCTGGGGATCGAGCCCCCAATCCCTGTGCCTGCTTGCAGGTGCTTTAATTCACTGAGCTATTTGGCCGGCCCTCCTGTAGGAAATTTTATACTAACCATCAACGAAGTCTTACGCCAAACCAAACATGAATCTGTGGTGAGGTGTGTACGTTTGAATTGTGTAACTTTTTGCAGAATTGCCAAATGAGTCACAAAGCTTACAATTATTGCTAAGACTCACAGGTCCACTGACATTTTTCAACCCTATTAAAAAGCAAAGCATCAGCAGGTACTATAAGCCTTTCAAGGAAGTGCTTATAGTACCTGCTGATGCTTCCCTTTTTTCTTTCAAATTTTTAACAAAGTCCTTATTTGGGCTTAGCTGAGTCAACGGCAAGGCAGGTCCCCAAGCAAAGAATGCTTGACTCTCAGGTCTTTTCTCAACAGAGGGGTTCTTATGAACTCTGTGCTGTCATGTGCTGTGCACTCTCAGGAAGGACCCAGGGAAAACTTCAGTTGTCAGATGCTTTTCTTGGTTACTTGTCACTTTAGTCGTAGTATGGCACAGAAGTACATGCACAGACATTATTCCACTTAATACATTTAATTTTAAAGTTCAAGGGAATTTCTTTAGGTTGTAGGAGTACAGCACATGTGAAAGGGCATGTTGCTTAGCACGAGTGGGGCTTGGGGTTCAATACCTAGCACCAAGACAGACAAGAACATTTCTTTATAAACATTGATTTTAAAATATCCCAAGTTGTATCTATCATATTCCAACACCTATAGTGACAGAAATCAGCACGTGTCTCCGCTGCCTGGTCATATGGAGTGGTCTCCCAAAGCTCCCCCTGCTTGGCTGATACGGCGGAGGCTGATGAAGCCATCGGAGGGAAGCCAGGGCTAAGTGTGGGCCTGTAACAAAGGCCACCGACAGGGCCAGAAGGTGGGATGGGGCTAACTAGAAAAGACAGACTGATTTGCCATTTTTAAATAATTCAATTTCAAGGCCTGTGATATAGCTCAGCGGCACAGTGCCACCTGGCAAGTGCAAGGTCCTGAGTTCAACTCTTGAAACCAAAAAAAAAAAAAAAAAGAAAAATTAAAAATTAAAAAATTGAATTTCATTTTAAACACTGCTGCTTAAGTTCAAAACAGAAGCCTTGGGTGTTCACACAGGAGAGTACAGAGGTGTGTGGTGAAGGATAGTAGCCGTGAGTCAGGCCCAGGGACATGTGAGCCCTATTTGTACCATGTACTCTGATACCTCAGGGAAGTGACTTCATTTTGCAGAGCCTGTTTCCTCTCAGGTTGAGTAAGATCATGCCAAACCCTCATACAGTTCCTGGGTTATAGCAAACATGTTATTATGGGATAGAGCCTTGCTATACCACCACCTGGGGGTTCTGGAGGCTGCTGCTCTCCATCCACATGTTGGCATCATCTCATCTGAAGATCAACTGAGTCCTTGGAAGTTTCTCCCAGTTCTACCTGTATGCTGTCGAGGCTGTAAAGCTTCCTAATAAACCTGATGTTCGGCTCTGCCCGATGGCTTGTAGCTCTTACTCCACTTGCTTCCAGCACCTCCTTCCCTCTGGTTGCTGCGCACTGAGGCTTCACTGCATCGCACCATGCGGCTTCCCAAACTTAGGGAGCCGCAGGGAGGATGGGGGCTTGCTATGCATTTTCCTTTCTCGCTCCTTTTAATTGTTTTATTAGTGTGGTCACAAGTTTGATATCTACAGCACACTGTTAACAGAGCTCTACACAAATATTTGAAATAACTATACTGCTTAAGTATGGTTTTAAAATGTCAACTCCAAATGATCATGCAAGTCCCATGCATTTGCACTTGCACCCCCACCGGCACAAGTCACCCTGCTTATCCCCACTGGGTCTCAGGGTTGCTAAGTGGGGGCTGGAGTACCTTTTCTCAGACCCAGACTTTCAAGAGCAACACTGATGCATGCAGGCATTCTACGGAGCCTGGCAGTAACACCTGCTTTTGGTTTATTCAGAAAAGAATGCAATTACTGGCTATTGCTTGTGAGCCACTGGCCCCTCCAGGGTTGGACTAGCACACAGGTACTTTGCTATCCCTGTATGAGGCTGATGTGCAGTTTCTGAACCTGTGTTTCTTGCCTAGGGAAAGTCTAGAAATGAGGCGCACAATCTTCCAACATGCTATCCGTGATGTAACTGGAACCAAGGTGGGATTCATAGTAACTTTTCTCATCAAAGGTGTTGACAGTCCAACCAACAACATGGACTCCTTTAGCTGACCACTTCTTCAGATAGTCCCTGGAGAAAAGAAAAAAACAATGCTGTTAGAATAGAGAACAGTTGTCCCTAGAATCTACAATGGTTGCTGGGTCCAGTGGCCACTAAGTAGCCACCTACAGTCACAGGTATGCCCCAAGCCCAGCTGCTAGGAGGCCTTCCAGTTGTCCCAGCTTCAAACACATCAGTAGCTCATCATAGCCAACTTCTCCCTCCTAATGTCCTTGACACTGCACTGGGCATGGGCCTTGTCTTCTGTGGCCTTATCCCAGGTCATTCTACCCCTTTCTGGTTGTTGTTACAGAAGATCAGTTCTCTTTCAATTCCTTGTGAGAACTGCTCCCCTTGGCCACAACAATACTTGTGGTTTTCCTGCTTCTGCTGTCCACACCCTTCGTATCTTGAACTGAGTGAAGTCATAATGCAAACTAAGAGTTTGTTCTCTTACCTTTCCCAGTCTCTTTGAGAGAACTTTGTTTTCTCCCTGTCCCTCTCCATATCTTAATGGCTAACTGTAGAAGCAGTTGCTCTTTGTTCTTTGCACTCCTCATTCCCAGGATACAGGAAAGGCCATGATTAAAAGGTGGCACAAGCCTATAAATCCCCTGGGAGGCTGAGGCAACATGCTTACTTGGGTAATTCAGTGATTTGGCAAGACACTGTCTAAAAAGGCTGGGTGGGGGGGTGAGTATATAGCTTACTAAGGGTACAGGAACTGGGAAGAAGCAGAAGATAGTGGCACATTTGGAAACCTACGTACACTAGGAGACTGAGGCAAGAGAATTACAAGTTCTGGGCAGTTTAGCAAGACTCTCTCTCTCTCTCTCTCTCTCTCTCTCTCTCTCTCTCTCTCTCACACACACACACACACACACACATACACACCCCAGAAATTGAACTCAGGAACTTAACACTTGCTAGGCCAGTGCTTGTGCCACTGAGCTATATCCCCAGCCCAAGACACCATGGTGGGGGGGGGGGAGACTGGGAATATAGCTCAGTGCCCAAGCCTTGAATATAGCTCAGTGCCCAAGCCTTGAGTGCAGTTTCCAGGGGAGGAGGAGTGCCCAGGAAACTAGGAACCTGACAAAGTTTCAAACCGCAAGCCTCCAACAATCCTCTTGGCAACCCATCTGGACACACCCCCCGCCCCCCCCCCCCCCGTCTGTCGGGAGCTATCCCTATTCCGTATTCCTTTTCCCAATAAATGTTCCCTACTCTTAACCTCTGTTGATCCTTATGACTCATTTTTCAACTTCAGTGGCCACAAGCTCAGTGTATCTGACATCTAGCATTTCCCCAGTATCATCTTGGAGATCCCACCCAAAGAATTGGAAGAGGTAAGCAGATTGCTTTTGTTCACAGGCTTTGGATTATGACTCCTTTAGACGATCAAAAATTGCCCCCCCCCCAAAAAAAAAAGTAGAAGAAGTAGCAGTAGGGCGGGCCTGCTCAGGCAGAGTTTAGCAGCCAAGATTCGATCTCCTGCCTGCTGTGCCAGCTGAGCAATTGAGACTGGGCATGGTGATGTGTGCCTGTAATCCCAGCTCTTGGGAGGCTGAACACAAGAGAATCACTGAGTTGGATCTCCATAGTGAGACCTTGTAGACTCTGTCCTCAACACACAAAAACAAACAAACAAACAAACAACCCTGTCATACTTGTTTTTTAATTGCTTATGCCTTGATTTTTTAAAAAACTTATTTACTTGGTACAGGATCTAGATCTTGGACTCACAGCGATCCTTGTGTCTCAGCCTCCCCAGTGCTGGGATTACAGGTGTACACCACCATACCCAACTTCAGGGCCAGCAGGGCATGTAGTACCGGGGATCGAACTCAGGTCCTAGCGCTTGCCAATGCCGAGCTATCTCCCCATCCTGCCTTGATTTTTTAATGCCTTCTATTTGTCAACTGCTTATGCCTTGTCTTTTTTATGCCTCTTCCTTTGTTAAAAATGATGATAAATTAAAGCTCAGAATATGGGAAGATTATGATTTCACAAGCAAAGTCTTATATTCCTGTATTTGGACTTACTAGTTTCCCGATTTCCTTATGACGTGGTTTCTTTAGCTTAGGGACAATAATGCTGGGAAAGTAGTGTTATAATGCCCCCTAGTGGACTTTAATATAAAATACTACAAAATGGACTTTTTAAAAAAAATGAAATCTAGTTCATATTTAGAAAATATGTATGTTTATTAATAAATCACAGGACCCCCATCTACCAGTTAAAAGACAATAGGCCTGCAACTGTTCTTAAGACTTTGGGGCCAGTTTCACTGGGACAAACTGACCCTGCTTGCCCCTCTCCAACCTAGAATAGTGAACCTGTTCTGCCTCAGTTTCCTTTCTGGTTTGATCTTCCACTGAGGAGAGGCACCCTTAGCTCCTGAGATTTCTTAATTCTCTCATTTCCAGGCTCACAGTGGTGACTCATGGGCAAGCTGTTTTCATAACTCACCACAAGCATGAGAAGAAAAGACTTTCTGATCTCATTTCTGATCTTTTCCTGCCACTTTGTACATTCCTTTTCTTGGAGGCATGTAAGGTTAGACAGGGAGGACCTATCCACCAACTAAGACCCCTTAACTTAAGAAGAACCAGGAGAAAAGGAGTGTTTGTTAATGTTAAGACAGGGAAGTCATCTTAGATAAAGACAGCTCAGGCTCTTAGCTGTCCCTTATAGAAGTCTAGTGAACAGTGGTCACTCTGCCACTCAGTTACATGCTCTTAGAACAGCTGCCACTGCTAAAGCAGGGGACAGGTTGCCCAGCACCTTCCAGTTTAAGACCCACTGAAGGCGATGGAGTGTTCACCAGACAAGACAGCTGGAGTCCTTTCTGGAAACAAATCTCTGGTTGCACGGAACCACTGAAAGCTGGGAGAACAACTGAGGGATCATGTCCAAGGTGATACCCAAGGGTTCTTCAGTGGAAGCTGGGGTCTGACAGCCCAACTGGGCAACCAGCAAGAAAAATATATTTATCTGTTGTCCCTACCTGCACTCCTCAATGAGGTCGTGGGTATCTATCAGCAATCTTCTGATAGCCTCTGTTAGAATGAGCAGAGAAAATACTAGTGGAGCCCTCTCTTAAGCCTTCATTAAAAGGTGAACTACAGGTTTGGATTTCTCTGTCTCCCCATGTTTTTCTTTTTTTTTTAGGGTTTTTTTCCCATAATTTTATTGAGAAACAAACAGCAATGAGACAGTTTCAAACCAAATTGGTAGGACAGTTTCAGTAATTAACACATTGCGTACATTCTTCCTAGTGGTTAATTGCTGCACAAGATGCGGACTTGATATCCTATTCACAAACACCATTAGAACAAATCCCTCTATCCATTAAGAGAATGTAACCATATATCTATCCTAACCACTTTGAATACACAGATACAAAATGGACATTCATCTGTATACCCTTTTTTTGTTAAGTTCGTTATTTGAATATTATAGGTGTGTAAACTCAGCAAAATATTCTAAAAGAGTCCAGTAGCCCATAATAGTATTGGGTCTTCCACTTGACTGGCAATGTCAGAAATTGTTGACCTGAGTCCCCCACAGCTCAACATAACAGCATGGCTTTACTTATATTTCATTTTTATGCTTTTCTGCTGGATGGTTAAGACCAAGGTAAAGCAGGACCTATGCAACAAGAGTTGTAGCTTTTGGGTCTGATAAGGCCAGTGAAATCCCCTCAGGATTTATCCTGCGATCCTGTACCTCAGATTGTAGAACCTTTGTCAGTGTCAGCCATGTGAATGAGTCACGGCCATTGCTTGGCCAATGTGCTCTCTGTGAAAGCCTGAGAGAGTGTTTTCTCTCCATGTGACTCTCCTTAGGCACACTCTACATCATCAATCACTTTCCTCTTTGGCCCCATGTTTTTCTACAACTCTCTGAGCTACTTTAGAACTACCTTGTGGCTGGACTGCCCCTCCCCCAGGGAGGTCAGTCTGCGGCAGCCCGCAACAACTGTTTGTCTTTCACTGCAGAGAAAACAGTTATCAGTGAAGTGATTTAGACATGTACCTTACATATGTTAACTAGGGGTGAAAATGGATTTCTTCAACCTTTCTTTTATGTGGACATAGAAAAATGACAAATGTGGTTTTACTAACATGTGAATTACGGTGTTAGGAAATGGGTACAAGTTTAACCTGTAAAGACATAATAATTTTAGAGTGGATTTTGGGTAAAATGTAGCCTTGTCTTTTTTTGGTGTTGTTACCTGGCGAACTTGCCAGGCAGGTTCCATGCCACTGAGCTGTCTCTCTGGCCAGCCTTTTCTTGCTATTAAGAAAAACTGCCTTGGTGATCACACAGATAATGTGTCTTTATTTCTAAGTGCATTTCTTTTTCTTTTTTTTTTTCTTTTTTTTTTTTTTTTTTGCGGTACTGAGGATTGAACTCCGGACCCTGCACTTGCCAGGCAAGCGCTTATTCTACTGAGCTATCTCCCCAGCCCATGTTTCTCTATTTTTAGAGGTGATCTCTTTGCAAGGATGGAGTATACTTCAATCACTTTGAATCTGCCCTTTGATATTTTCTTTGCATCTTTTTTTAAAAAATTGGAAAGCAGTGGTTTAGATGTCTCGATTATTGGCTTTGTTAGCAATACTTCCTTCTTTAAACATGACTGTTACAGCTGAACTAAATTGTAGTTCTCACTTTTGGAAACACCTGCTAGGATTAGGAGTGCGGGTTTCTAAGAAAGTTAGGGTCACAGCCAATAAAAGGTGGCTAGTGTGACCTGACCCATCTTTTGGTCTCTCTCCAGGTGGAGAGGTCACACTGGGATACCTTGAGGATATAGAAATCAAGTAGAAATTAAAGCGACGCCCATTCTTTCTCTTGCATTTCAGATGGGCAACTCACTCTGTTACTCTTTGGAAGTTATTCTTAAGCAGTGGAGAAAGTTTGACCCTTACATATTGAGAAAGAGTTAATATTTTTCTGCATTCCAACCTAGCTGGTGCAAACACTCCCTCCTGGAACTAGTTAAGATTACCTTTAACATT